ACAAAGATGTTGTGTCTGCTGAAAACTAAAAAATAAATATTAAAAAATTCTCTCTCTTTAAAAAAAAAAAAACAAGATAGTTTTATTCAAGCTTAAAGGTAAAGGGAACATTTATGTTGGTTTATGGTAGCTAAGCCTCAAAAAAAGAAATTTTAAATTTTTAAGGGATGGTATAATAGTGAGTTTCTTCAGCCTTTTTAACAGTACTTGGCATAAATGTTTTATGAATTAATTTTATATATATGCATTGTTTTCATTTTTTTTTTTTTTTGGCTAGGGTTGTTGGGAATTGAACTAGTTCTCATCTGTGCCAGGCAAGCACACTATCATTAGATTATATTCTCCCCAACTCTTAAAAAAAATTTTTAATAAGTTTTACAATTTATAATCAACATAATAATTATAAATATTTATGGGTTACAGTATGACATTTCAGTGCATGTGTAAAATATGTAATGATTAGGGCAATTGGGATATTCATCACCTTAAACATTTATCATTTCTTTGTGTTGGGAACATTCAGAATCCTCTCTACCACCTATTTTGAAATATACAATTAATTGTTGTCTACCATATTTATCCTATTATACTAGAGAACAATTAGAAGTTATTCTTCCTGTTCATCTCTACGTCTGTAAGAATTTGTTTTTATACGTTTCTATGGCTTTTCTGACAAACTTTTATGGTGAAATCAAGTGTAATGGAATGGTACAGAAGAATTGTCTTCAAGAAAGTTTTTTTTAATCTTGAAAAAACTTTGAAAGTCTTTGACTATACATAGAAAGTTGACTCACTTCTAGCAGCTATTTCCCGGTGTTATTAATATGTGACTGATTTCTTAGGAACTTACTTTTTGTTTGGTGGGGTGGTGGTGGTGTTTTTTTGTTGGGTTTTATTTTGTTTTGGCAATGAGAATTTAACTCAGGAGCACTTTACCACTGAGCTATATCCCCTAACCCTGTTTTTTTTATTTTGGGACAGGATCTCACTAAGCTGCTTAAGGTCTCACTAAGTTGCTGAGCCTGGCCTTGAACTTGCAGTCCTCCTGTCTCAGCCTCTCCAGCTGCTGGGATTACACACGTGTGCCATGCTCAAAAACTTAGTTTTTGATACCAGATTTTTGCAGGAAGGAAAGGAGTGTTGTTTTCAATGTGCAAATTATGCCCATGTGAGAGTGAGAAGTAAAAGAAATCCAGCTGGACATGGTGGTGAAGCTGAGGTAGAAGGATTACAAATTCAAGGCCAGCCTTAGTAACTTAGCCGGGCCCTAAGCAACCTATTAAGATCCCATCTCAATACTAAAAAAAAAAAAAAAAAAAGAGCTGGTGATGTGGCTCTGTGGTAAAGTCCCTCTTGGTTCAATCCTCAGTACCTCCCACCAAAATATAACTCGGAATTTTTCTAAGGATTTAGTAATTTATTACTAACTATTGCCTTTAATTCTGATTCTAATATGAAATTTATAACATTTACATACAAATAATTTTGTCAAAGTGAAAAATTATGCCAGCCCTGTTTTAGTTTTAGTCTCCTTCACAATAAACCATATAATTGAAAAGCCATCTAATTTCCTTTTTGTCACAAACAGTAGAGGATAGCTGTTTTTAGGTACATCTGAAATATCTAGTTTCTGACTTCATCTCTGAAATTGGTCCTTTAAGTTTTACATAGTTCTGTTTATTTTAACTTTTATAGAACCAGCACCGAGCCGTAGATCAAGTAATTAAAGCTGTTAGAAAAATATGCAGTGCTTTAGATGGTGTAGAGACTCCTGCCATAACGGAATCAGTAAAGAAACTAAAGAGAGCAGTTAACCTTCCAAGGAGTAAAAGTACTGATGTGAGTATTTTTATGTCTTTAAGTGTCACTTAAATTGGAATGCTTTTGTCTTCTAATGGACAAAATATTATATTTTTAACTTTGGCTTTTTTTTTTTTTTTTTTTAAAGTTGGTCACTTCTTTGGTTAGATGGGGAATTCATTGGTAAAGAGTGTGGACTGCCTTAGAAGAGCTTTGTGAGAACTGACATTGAATAGGTGGATGCCAAACTATAAACCCTGTATGTGTAGAAGAAGACCTCTGGCATAAATGAATTTGTTAGGGATTTAAAGATAGATCCTGAATTGAGAGGATCTAGAGGGTAATCACTTCTCTCGATGGAAATATCCATGATTGTCAGTGGGGGATATTAGACATACCGCCTCTCTATTGAAAAGACCAAGAAATCTCTGAAGAAGGCCTGGTTTGCTTGAGAAGGTGTAAGTTATGAGCCCTTTCCTTATGTCAGCCTTTAGGAAGAGCTTTTCTTCACAGTATTTCCATGCTAATTTAGTGAAGTCTGTTCATAGATATGTTTATATCTTAGATTGAAAAGATAAGAGGAAGGGTGGGTGTTACAAGCCACTATAAATTTAAAGGAAGGGAGTTATGTCACTAGGTGCTCCTCAATCTCTATAAGGTAAGTTTTTAGTCCACTCATTTTCACACAGATCCTATCCATATAGTATATAGAGATTTGGGCTTTTTTGGCAGGGAGGGGGCTTCTTTTTTGCTACTTTTTAGAACTTAAGAAAATACATATGAAATTACTTGGGAAGTTATCAACAACCATGGTTTTTTTAAGCTGGGTGCTATGGCACATGCCTGTAATCTCAGTGACTCAGCAGACTAAGGCAGGAGGATTATAAATTTGAGGTCAACCTGGACAATTTAGTGAGCCCCTGTCTCAAAATTTTAAAAAAAGGACTAATTGTGGCTCAGTGGTAGAATGCTCTCCTATCATGCATGAAGCACTGGGTTTGATCCTCAGCACCACATAAAAATAAAATAAAGGTATTGTGTCCACCTATAACTTTAAAAAAAAAAAAGGACTAAGATGAAGGTCAGTGGTAGAATGCAGTTGGGTTTAATCCCCAGTCTTGGGGGATAGGGGAAGAAAGGAAAAGAGGTTTTTATTTTGTTTTGTTTTCACCAAGTGATAAAAAATAGAAATCTAGATTTTTTCTTTAAGGATATTCTTATCATGCTCTTATAGAGAAACTAATGAAAATAGAATGCTGTGTTAATATACTTCACTTCTGGGTTTCAAATTAATTTATTTTGAGTTTCTCTGATTTTCTTGTTATTAATATCACCTCTTTATTTGGTTGGGGTTTTCCTTTCTTGCATTCAGTTTTCATTATTTTATTAATTTTACAAACACTTTGGGAAGTTTCCCCTAGAAAAGATTTCTTTGGCATTTATTTATTTATTTATTATTGGGGGCGGGGCACAGGGTTTGAACTAAGGAGCATTCGACCACTAAACCACATCCCTAGCCCTATTTTGTTTTTTAATTTAGATATAGTGTCTCACTGAGTTGCTAAGTACATTAGGCATGCGCCACCAAGCCCAGCTGATATAACATTTAATTAAATGTATCAAAGATACAGATAAACATTTTATATTACATCGTGGGCAATTTCTGACTAACTGATGTGTGTGTATGTAGGTGACTTCACTATCTGGAGGAGGAGATACTAGCAAGAGCTCAACAAGGGGTATGTTTTTAGATTCTTTATATTTTAGCAATAATTATTGCTTTTCCAGAGAATAATATTAACATTTTCTTTAAATCTAGGCTCACTGTATCCTGAAAATCCTGTTCAAGTAAGCATGGACCAATTAACTGCAGCAATTTATGATCTTCTCAGACTCCACACAAGTTCCAGTAGGAGTACTGCAGACAGTATTCACAACAGCAGGAGCATCAAGGAGGCATGGACCACAACAGAACAGCTCCAGTTTACTATATTTGCTGCACATGGAATTTCAAGTAACTGGGTATCAAAGTAAGTAACATTTAAGAGAACATATGCATAGCTTTACCTAAAAGCTATTCTGTAAAATGTTAGTCACATCCATTATTTTGGTGTTTAAATGGATATTACAGCGATTACTATATCCTTGTGATTTTCATAAAAATTGCAGAGATGTTTGATGCTATTCCAGTAAAAAATAGTACTCCTTCTACATATAGAAAGGACAGGAAAATATATGTTGAAATTTACTAGAGCAAATACCATTTAGTTAGTTAGTTAATAAGATTGCTGTTTTTCCTTTAAAAAAAAAAAAAAAAAAAACTAGGATCATTTGAAACAGTTTAATGGGACTAAATTTTGCGATTTTTTTTTTCCTCCCACTGTTTAGTATCTTACAATCTACTATTGATTGATAATCTTTGAAGTCTACAAGAGCATGTTTCTTCTATTGAATTTTTAATATGGGTTTTCCTTTTTCAACTTTTTTCTTTTGTCAATGCATTTAAGCCAGCAAATGTTTGCCAATTTTAATTTATTTGTAAATGACTAATATAAACTGAAAAGTTAGAAATGAATTTTTTAGTGAAATAGTTTTCATAGTAACCTAATCTTGTAGTTCAATGCAGAGATAGCAAACATAAATTTTGCTAAATTGAATTTTAGGTTAAAATAACACCACTACCACCACCACCAATAATAATGATATAACTTGAAAGCTATTATTTTAATTCTTTCAATAAATATTTACTGAGTACTAGGTATGGGCAGAATTCTCAGGACTGCTTTCCTCTAACATTTATATGGCTATTACTGTCTTCTAAAGATATTAGTTTACTGCTCCATACACATTGTTACACACACAGGTTCATACATATACATGCACACTTATACACACTCATAAATTCAGAGACAAAATATGAACAAATACCCAGTAGAAGAAAATACAGAAAACAAGTGATAATTAAGATCGAAAGTAAGTTAATAAGATGCTGAAATAAAAAGGGGAAAATGTGGGGTTGGGGTTGTGGCTCAGAGGTAGAGTGCTCGCCTACCATGCGTGAGGCACCAGGTTCAATCCTCAACACCACAGAAAAATAAAGATATTGTGTCCACCTATAACTAAAAAATAAATATTTTTTTAAAAGGGCGGAAAATATGGACTGGGGCTGTAAAGTGGCAGAGAGCTTGCCTAGGATGTGTGAGGCACTGGGTTCAATTCTTAGCACCAAATAAAAATTATAAAAACAAGACAAAGGCATGCTTTTCATCTATGACTACAAAAAGACATTTTTTTAAAAAAAGGGAAAAGAAAATGAAGTTAAAAGTAATCCATTAGTTTGTTAGCAAGGGGTATTATATGGACCAATGAAATGAAATTTGGAATATATTCATAAGAGATTCATATTCATATGTGCATAGATTGTACATATGAATAGAGTGGTTAAATTGTAAACCTAGCAATAAATTAAAATATATGTAGAAATACAGTTGAGTCCAAGACTCTTGCCATACATAATTGCCCTACTGTTTCTAATCAGTTTTGTCCTTGTGGTAGTTTGGGGCTGTCATTCCTATCTAATGAGAGAGTATAACAGGATCTGTCCCATGGGTAGAAGCCTCCCTATACAGTAAAAAGATTGGCTCAATCAAGCCAGCCCCTGTACTATTATGTGCTTAGCTGATCCTGTTTTAGTAGTTCAGCAAAAAGAAAATTGCACCTAGGGAAGATATAATATTTATGCTGTCTCTAGAATTTGCCTGGAAATGAATAAGTACAATTATACATTGTCAACTAACTAAAATCTAAAGCTAGTAGCATTAGTTATTTAGTTATGAACACAACACTTAAGTTTTTCAGCCAGTATCATTTATAGTACCTTGAGACTGTCACCTAGGAATATATGTTCTCTTCTGTACTCCTTTGGCCATCCCACTTCTGTGTGTTCATAAAATTTTCAATGATTAAATTCAGATAGATTTTTAAAAATTAACTGAATGGTGACCAGTTAATTTCAGATATTAGTCACTTTGGGGAAAGAACTGCTAATATGTTTGTATTACTTAGCTAATTCATGTTACTAAGTTAGAAATCAAATTAAATTTCTTTTCTCAGTTACGAAAAATACTACTTGATATGTTCCTTGTCACACAATGGAAAGGATCTTTTTAAACCTATTCAATCTAAGAAGGTTGGCACTTATAAGAATTTCTTCTATCTTATTAAATGGGATGAACTGTAAGTGAAATTTTTGGCTTTTTAATTCTCTTACTGTACTCTGTTTTGTACTTTTTTCAATTTATACATCCTAATTTCAGTTTTACCATTTATACCGAAATTCATTAAATTCTTACTAATGTCCTAAGGTCTCTCCTAGATCTGATTCTATAGAACAAACTGAAATTTTCATAAAAAAATCAGAAATACTCATTTAACTACATTTTATTAAATTGCAGTAATATGCCATTTGTTCTTCCTAGACTTTATTGTTAAAGATATAAATTTATATATAACTCTAGAGAGTTGTTGTTTTGTAGCATTACTTACTTTAGTATTTTTTGTAATACTTCATAAAAATCTAGCACTATTATTAATAGATAATCAAAAGAGTAACCTAAAATTTGTGCACATGATGATACTTGGTAATGTTAACTAACTAATTTATTTATTTATTTATTTATTTATTTATTTATTCTATGGTACTGGAATTTGAACCCAGGGCTTTGGCAAGCTCTCTACCACTGAACTACATTCTCAGCCTTTTTTCGCTCTTTTTTAAATTACAAAAATAATATATATCTGTGAAAGCAGACAAATAATACAGAAATGCATATAAGGTCAAAAGTAATGTTATCCTATTTACAACACCTGATCTTAGAGTTGACCCCTATTGACCTCATCTGTTCTTTCAGACTCTGAAGGAAAAATGTATTGGTAAACATATATATACATATATGTATGTATGTTTGCTTATATATGTTCATATTTACATCCCAAAACAAATACTCATAAACATTAATCTGATTTGTCTTAAAGGAAATAAATAAAAATGATTACTATAATATTTTGCTAGGAAATTGACACTGCAAATCTTAAGTATAATTGCTAACACATTTATGAAGAAAAAAATGTTATATTTTGAAATTTATACTGTTAATGAAATTTGTTGAAGACTTTTAACAGTACAAGTTAACCAAACTTGTTACGAAGATACAGGTTACTCAGGATTAAAGATTATTTGATAAGTCAAATGAAATACCTAAAATTGTCAATCCATTAAAAGGTTAAACTTCACATTCAATCTAATCTGTTCTTTCTATTAATACATTTTCCCCCATAGAATCATTTTTCCCATCCAGATATCACAATTGCCATTAGAATCAGTTCTTCATCTTACTCTTTTTGGAATTTTAAATCAGAGCAGTGGAAGTTCCCCTGATTCTAATAAGCAGAGAAAGGGGCCAGAAGCTTTGGGCAGAGTTTCTTTACCTCTTTTTGACTTTAAGCGGTAAGTATTTCGGAATTTTGATGGTAAGTTACTGTGGATACATGTACACATCAGTATTGGTTGGAGGACAGGATGAGGAACAATGACAAACATGAGCTAAGGAGCTCTCTCAGTTTTTTTCATTGTGATAAAAGAAGATCAGGTCAAAGACACAGAACAAAGGAAACCAGTTGTTCTGCTGTAGTCTGAACTGTCTGTCTGGATATGCAGAGGATTGTTTGCCATTCATTATTCTAGGAGAGGAGCAGCAGTCAATGATTCTCTGTCTTTATGTAAAGTATTATATTATTGAGGTAATACCATGATTTTATCATTTCCCTTGACACTATTAAAAGAATTCTGCTTTTCATCCCTTTCCTGCCCTCCTCCAGTTTCAGACACTCAAAAGGCACACATTATGCCCTATATTAATTCTGTTTGCCTGACTCATCTGTCTCTACTGTTAAGGGTCCCCCTTGTCTTTAATTTCCAAATATCTCACATGTATGCAAAAACCTATTATGGGTTTCTTTCCCCCTATGCTTCAGGGTTTAAGAATCTTTTAATATCCACTGTGGTCTATTCCATTGTCCAATATATAGGACACCTATAAAAACCTATAAGATTGTTAAATTTAAATTTTTATTTGTGTCCTATGTGTAGGACAGTGGGACATAATGGATTAATAGATGAAGTGCAAAAGGAATAGTTCTTAGAATAGCAAGGTTATCCTAAAGGGAAAAACAAACAACTGAGTAAGTTTGAGATATGTTACATATAGTATGTGGGAATGTTGTACAGCTTCATAATGCATGGGCATATTAAAGTATCTAAGTTCTATAGTCAAAAAGGCCTATTTAAGCTTTATAACCATATGTTTAGTCTAATGACAAATACTTCTATAACACTTAGGGTTGGTATTATCTGTGTTTTGTACAAATATCCTTATATTCTCCACAACAACTCTGTGAAGGAGATATTGTTATTACCCCCTGTTCTAGAGAGGGAAACCAAAGTATGAGGCTAAGTGCCTTGATGCTTACTTAATAAATTGTGGAATTGGGATTTGAGCCAGGCAGTCTGGATCCAAGGTCTATGTTTTTAAATGTTATCCTTTGTTTACATTCTCAAACTTATTTAATACCATAGCACTTTTTTGTTGTTCAACAATATATCTTTTGAAATACTGGGACAGTTTGGAAAATTATTTAATAATAGATCTATTTAAACTAAATCCAAAATTTAATATTAAGAATGAAAAATATCTGCTAATCTAGTTCTGCTTCCCTTTTCTTCCTCTTCTTAAATGAGAGAAACACTGTTTGAATTTCCAATAATCATTTTTGAAATTATGTTCAAAACACTGACTTCACAAATGTTCTTCTTGATATTTTCCCATGTACTTATGTGAACCATGCTTCTTCTAATTATTTTCCTCATATTTGAAGAGGCAGTATAAGATTTATTATCTAGTAGATTCAAATTTTGACCCCTGACTCAATTCTGAACCATTAAAGGCTAGAGAAAAGCAGTTGAAGTGATTACGATTAGTAATGAGTATTCAGAACCCTCTTGTTAAATATAATCTATAACTTCTCTGAAATAAAACATACTGATATGATATCATTGGCGCTACAAAGGAGAGGAATTATTTCCTCAACTGTCTTTGATAAATTGTGTCAGAGTAGTTATGTGAGAAAGTTGAATGTGATTTCATCATTAACATTAATTTTTATATAAGCTAGTTTGAAAACATTTCTGTTCTTGAAAGTACCATCACTGTCACTATTGTTGTCTGCTAATAAATGTTTTTTTAATATGAATGATGTAACATTCTTTCATAATTTGAGAGATTATAAAGTGAAAGGCAGTTGACTTCTGTGATATTTTGAAATAGTTTGCATCCAACACTCATAAGGTGAATAGATGGCATTAAGCTCAAGACTGACAAGTAGTGCGGTCATTCTGGTAATATTAGGACTTCATACTCAAATTAAGAGGGAAGGTGATTTTACATTAATATATACAGAGAAGCTAAGTATTAATGATCTAGTTCAGGTAGCATACTGTGATTAGTAACTCTGTTCTAGCAGTTCCTTTTAAATTATTTCTGGTTAAGATACAACCTTCATACAACTTGATGGAGTCACTGTCACAGAAACCAGTTGACTCAAAGACCTTTTGAGTCAGCCTCTCTGAAAATGGCATATAAGGAGTTTTAAGCATTTAACCTGCCTTCCTGTTAGAGTTGTATCTTATCAAATAATTGATGTGAAAGTTTGGGGTTTTGGGGGGAAGGATACTAGGCATTGAACTCAGGGATACTTTACCACTGAGCCACATCCCCAGCACTATTTTGTATTTTATTTAGAGACAAGGTCTCACTGAGTTGCATAGCTCCCTGCTTTTGTCTGAGACTGGCTTTGAACTTTATTTGAACTTGTGATCCTCCTGCTTTAGCCTCCCCAGCCTCTCGGATTACATAGGCATGTGCCACCACATGCAGCTTGCCTAGCACGTGCAAGGCCCTGGGTTTGATCCTCAGCACCATATAAGAAATAAAATAAAGATATTGTGTCCATCTACAATTAAAAAATAAATATAAAAAAAGTTTTCAAACCCTACTAAAATAATAGATTTAGACCAAGGTTTCTCAGTCTTGGCAGTATTGACATTTTGGGACAGATAATTCTTTGTTATAGGAGACTTCTGTGTATTGTAGATGTTTAGCGGTATCCCTGGCTTCTACCCACTGACTTCTAGTAGTACCCCCAAGTTGACAACTACATATTTCTGCAGACATTGCCTCATGTCTGCTGGGAACATAGGCCCCCATAGAGAAGCATTGATCTAAGCAATGATCATCAATACCTTCTTAAAGCCATTTAGCTTTTCTGAAATTTTATAGTAGATGATTTAAATTGATAGCACTTGAACAAACTAATAAATCATAATGTTATAGACAGAGAAAGAGGTAATCCCAATGATGTGTGCCTCTTTATTTGATGGAGTAGGCAGTAGTGTACAATACTACCTATGAGATACTGAGTACTCTTTTTTTTTTTTTTAGAGAGAGAGAGAGAGAGAGAATTTTTTTTTAATATTTATTTTTCAGTTCTCAGCGGACACAACATCTTTGTTTGTATGTGGTGCTGAGGATTGAACCCGGGCCGCACGTATGCCAGGCGAGCACGCTACCACTTGAGCCACATCCCCAGCCCCAGATACTGAGTATTCTTGCTGAAGACCTAAATCTGAATCACATCAAGCCACTAGATCTAATTACTACTTAACAGAAAATACAGGAAGTCATGTTAAAAGACACCAAAGGAATATAATCAGCAAAATTCATGAAATAGAAATTGCTATAGAATAAAAGACCTGTATTTTCAGCAAATAAATGACAGGGGTAAAAGGGAAAGGACAAAGTGTGCCAAATGCAAATAGTTTCATCTTTGAAAGCCATATAAGCTGTCACAAGTGCAATAGCCACTATAGACAATACATTAACAAACGGGCATGACTGTGTCTAATAAAATTTTATTTACAAAACTAGGTGGCAGGACTTTACTGAACCTGAATTAAAAGATGCTTAAAAAGACATTTCAACTGGCACTGGGCATATAGCTCTATTGGTAGAGTGCTTGCCTTGTATGCACAAGGCCCTTGGGTTCAATCCCCAGCCCCACAAAAAAAAAAAAAAAAGATTTTAGCCAAATGCAAATGTTGTTGGACCTTGTTTGGATCCTGTTTCAAACAAACCAATGGTAAAAGCAACAACAACAAAAAAGAAAATTCAGGGAAATTTGAAAACTGACTAGATATTTTATGATCATAAGTAATTTGTTAATTATTTTAGGAGAAATAATGGTATTATAACTACTTCAAAGGGAAACTTGATTGTTTAGACTTATGTAACAAAATTTATAGACCAAATAGTACAATTAAGATTTGGCTTAGGGCTGGGGATGTGGCTCAAGCAGTAACTCGATCACCTGGCATTTGCAGGGTGCTGGGCTCGATCCTCAGCACCACATAAAACAAAAATAAAAGATGTTGTGTCCACCGAAAACTAAAAAATAGATATTTTAAAAATTTTCTCTCTCTCTCTCTCTCTTAAAAAAAAAAAAAAAAGAAAAAAGATTTGGCTTAAAGTTGAAGTTGGACACAGTGGTACATGCTTTTTTTAATCCCAGTGGTTTGGGAGGCTGAGGCAGGAGACTCATGAGTTCAAAGCCAGCCTCAGCATAAATCAAAGGGGCTCAAGCAATTCAGTAAGACCCTGTCTCTAAATAAAATACAAAATAGTGCTGGCTGGGGATGTGGCAGTGTCCAAGTACCCCCCTGAGTTCAATCCCAGTAAAATAAATAAGGTTTGCTTTAAAATAATCTAGTTGGGTGTATGGGTAATTTTTAGAAATGACAGCTTAAAATATATCAAACATTCAAAAGTTATTAATGTGGGCAAGAGAAAATAGTAAGACAGGAGTTCAGTTCTGAAAAGGACATTTTATGTTTAAATAAAATGAAGATTTGACAAAGTTCATAACTTCCTGCTTTTATTAATCTTATATTTTTCAAATATCTCTTCTATGTAAAGATAAATCAATGTCTTTGACTAAGTGTTTTAATTTAAGTAAAACATAAATTGGTAGTCTAGGCCAAGGGCCAAGTGTTCAAGCCCATTGTTTGTTTTTATAAATACAATTTGTTAGAACCTAGCACACATTCATTTATGTAGAATGTATAGTTATTTTGCATTATAATTGCCAGGTTGAGTCTTTGGAACAGAGATAAGTGATCCACAAAGCCCAAAATATTTACTAACTGGCTCTTTTTTTTAATATTTATTTTTTAGTTGTAGTTAGACACAATACCTTTATTTTATTTATTTATATGTGGTGCTGAGAATCGAACCCAGGGCCTTGCATATGCTAGTTGAGCGCTCTACTACTGAGCCACAACCCCAGCTCCTGACTGGCTCTTTACAGGAAAAGTTTGCTGACAAGGATAGAGATACAAATTCTCATCTCACATGATTGGTGCTTTAACACGAGAAAATTATTCATTTTCTTGGCATATTCTAATGGTAAAAGCCATGAAGCAGTCCCCAGGTGGTAGTCCAAACCACCACCCTAAGATGTATTCCCTTACAGAAAATCTTGAAGCACTATCATTTACCCCTTCCTATTTATAGAAGTTGTTTCGAAGACAGGTGATTCTGAATTTACTATTCTTCTTGAGATAAATATTTTCATTCTCCCTCTTTGTTCCCATCCTGTACTTTAATACATTTACTTAAAGTCTCATTACAGTTTGGGAGTGACTTCTTCTGATATGTTCTTGAAGATGATATTTTTATTTAGTGAATGTTAGTGAATACTAACATTTCAGATTGATTATCATGTGTTGTGTCAGTTTTTTAAATGAAAATTATTCTTTTTATATTCATGAAGGTTTTTAACATGTGGAACCAAACTTCTCTATCTTTGGACTTCATCATCTACAAATTGTATTCCTGGAACAGTCCCTAAAAAAGGATATCTCATGGAAAGAATAGTGCTACAGGTAATGGTACTTCTTGATAAGTGGAGAGGTTTAAATTTAAATTTCTTGAAAAAAAAAATATATATATATATATCTTTTATTTGGGCATTATTAAAGAAGCCTAATTGACCGCTTTAATTTCAGAATTTATCTTCAATTTAAATGTCATGAAGCCATTTTCAATTTCTGAGGATACAGTAAAACATGCATTGTATCTATTCCAAGAAATATATGTGTATTATTGAGAATTACCAACTATTGATAATCACTTTCAACAAAACCCCAAGAAACACTAATATGATCTCAGTGTAAATCCACCCTGATTGTTAAGGGAGAAAAAAAAAGTCCATTTTCTTAAAGACACGTTAATGTTCTATATTTTGATCAACTTCTGTTCAATTTTTAAGGTTGATTTTCCTTGTTCTACATTTGATATAATTTATACAACTCCTCAAGTTGACAGAAGCATTACACAGCAACACAACTTAGAAACACTGGAGAATGATATAAAAGGGAAACTTCTCAATATTCTTCACAGAGACTCATCACTTGGGTATGCTTCATTTATTCTGTTTGTAGCCTGGGTATCTCCTACAATGTAAAGCTCATGTTAAGAGCTTGTATTAAATGCTCTGATTTAGTTCATGATTTAGCAGTGCTCTTGTTTTGGAACACTTTCTATTTAACTTATTTTTTAAATTGTATTAAAAGCCTATATGAGGGCTGAGGGTTGTAGCTTAGTGGTAATGCACTTGCCTGGCATGATAAAGCCCTGGATTCAAGTCCCACAAAAAAAGAAAGACTGTGTGACTACATAAAAGTTAGATCATGTACAAGTCAAACTTTTTATTTGATCAAAAGGCAAACAGACTAGGAAATATATTAAATATCAATGAAATAATTTCCTGTAAGAACATGTTTATGGGGCTTGGGTAGTGGCTCAGCAGTAGAGCACTTGCCTAGCATGTGTGAGGCCCTGAGTTCAATTCTCAGCATCACATAAAGTAAATAAATAAAATGAAGATATTTTGTTCAACTACAACTAAAAAATAAATATTAAAAAAAAAAGAACATGTGGGATTCCACCTCTTGGTTCCCCTTCTTCCTCCAGGGAGAAGTCTTTTCTACTGTCCTTTAATAAAGCTTTTACTTTCCACTCTACACTTGCCTCGGTGTGCTTCTCTGGTGTTATACTTCAGCATCGGGGAAACAAGGACTCGTCACCGGGTAAACAGTGGTAGCAGATTGGAGGTTCCCCAACCGAGATCTACACCAAGGATTTTGTCAGCTGTGTCTTGTAATGCCCAGTCCTGAACTCATTTTTGTGGCTCTTTTACAACTTATTTTCATCTACAGAGGCACAGACCCACTTCACTCATTTTGTGCAATGAACTGACTTTTCTCTATCTTTGCAAACAATGTTTGGAAGAGCCAGTCTATTGGAGGGTCTTCCATATTATAAAATATGGTTCTCAGACCCTGTAGGACTTAAGGATAATTCCCTGCTGTGTTACTACCATCTTCCCTGTGAGAGGGCTTATCTTTCTTCTGTGTTTTGAGTGCTCCATCAACTCAGAAGAGAAGAATTTGTGGTCACAAGCTAAGAAATACTAGAAACCATGAGATTTGAGAAAATACAAGAAATAATTTTCTCTTAGCATATTATCTATTTGTACATTCACAGTCACTCACACTTTGAAAGTCTTGTGTTTAAATTATCCATAATTGTAAGAGATAATTTCTGGTTATTTCATTCCAATAAGTGTCTAATTCTATTTTTAGCCATATTAAAAAATCAGAAATTACTGCTAATAAAATCTATATATTCAAAAAAAAAAGAAGAAGAACATGTTTATGTCAATAAGGTAAAGATCAATGACCTTTATAATAAAGGAGGGAGAATATGAACAGTCAATTATTGGGGAAATAAATGCAGAGTGTTTTACATATTTGAAAAGATGTTCAATCTCTTAAAGAAAAGTAAATTAATACAACATACTCTTATACCCATCAGAGTGGTGAAAACTTAAAAGGCCTCATCACATAAAGTATTGATAAGGATATAAAAAAGTGGGAGTTATTCTATTGGAAGAACTATAAAAAGCCACAACCCTTTTGGAGAGCAGTTTGGCAAAATCTATTAAAGTTACAGTGTGGTATATTCTGTGACCCAGAATTGCCCCTTCTAGTAATGAATTGAAGAGAAAATTCTTATGTATTTGATTATTAGAGATAAGAATGTTCATTTTAATATTTATTTGGATAAATGAAAGAGACTGGAAATGTCTGTCAATAGCAGTTAAATTATCCAGTGGAGGATTACAAATATTAATAATGAGGTCATAACTATATGTACTAATACATAAGATATCTTAAATGAAGACATAAAGGAAGAGAATAGTGAATATAGTTTGTTGCCATTAACATAAAGGAAAAGAAAACCTAAAAATATCCATATGTATCATGTATAGCTAAAAGGAAAAATTAAAAAAACAGATATTTTAATGCTAAAAAAAAACATAAAACACACATATGTATGTCTATATAAATAGATTGTCTCTGGAAGCATACATAACTTTAAGTGGTTGCCTCTGGGAAGGGGGATTGTTAGGAGAGACTTCACTGCTCCTTTTGCAGTGTTTGAATTTTTTCAGTATTCCACATGAAATGAATACAATTTATATGTGTTGTATAAATGAGTTAGTAGTATAACAGTGAAATAATTTCATTCACATAAATATTTGTCATTAAAGCAATTAGAATTTCTAAACTGAGTCCTTTTCATTTTGACTATTTCTCAATTCAACTGTATTAATTTTCTAAAATATGGTAGCTTTTTTTTTTTTTTTTGGCAACAAGGGAGACACTGTCCCTTATTTTTTTAAGGGACAGTGTCTCATTGAGTTGCTTAGTGCCTTGCCATTGCTGAGGCTGACTTTGAACTCAAGATCCTCCTGTCGTGGCCTCCTGAGCCACTGGGTTTACAGGCATGCATCACTGTGCCTGGCTTTAATAAATTTTTATTGTACTGAATTATCCCTCATTTTCATAACTAATGCTCTTTTATTAAGGCAGAATAATTTCTTTCTGTTCTCAAATTAGAGTAGATTAGTGGTGTTTGTTATATCTTGCATTTTTTCTATTCCAAATTAGTATTAATGATTTTACCAAGAAGCAGCTTTCTCAAATGAGTAAATATTTTTGTATTTTTAATCATTGAGATTATCTATGGCATTCTCATATCACTGAGAAGTAATTTAATTCTATTATGTACACAGACTTTCTAAAGAAGATAAAGCCTTTTTGTGGGAGAAACGTTATTATTGCCTCAAACACCCAAATTGTCTTCCTAAAATACTAGCAAGTGCCCCAAACTGGAAATGGGTTAATCTTGCCAGAACATACTCATTGCTTTACCAGTGGCCTCCATTGTACCCACTGGCTGCTTTGGAGCTTCTTGATTCAAAGTAAGTAAAATATATTTATTTTCTTTTACTGTCAGTTATATTGCAGTAGTTCTTCCTTTTTAACACAAAAACAGTCAATACGATATAAAAAAGTAAATATACCTTTATTCAAACATAACCTTTTGCATTGAAATTTTCATAAAAGCATTTTATGTCATTTAAAACTAACTGAAAAAAAAGGGTTAGATTGTGGGTCTGGAGTTACAGTTCAGTGGTGGAGCACTTGTCTAGCATGTGTGAGGCACTTGGTTGGATCCTCAGTACCACATAAAATAAATAAATAAAATTAAAACAAGGTAATGTATCCATCTACCATACACACACACATATATATATAAAAAGGAATGGTTAGATTGTATATTTTTAACAATTTGTTGTATTTTAATGATATGAGCCAAAATTCATTTTCATATATTTAAGGTTTCAGAATAATTCCAAAATTGAATCTGAATAACACAGTTAGATTTTCTTCCTAATACCAAGAAAGTGAAACATGCCTATAATTCCAGAGACTTGGATGCTAAGGTAGGAGAATCACAAGTTCAGTGGCAGCCTCAACAACTTGTGAGATCTGGTCTCAAAAAATAAAAAGGTGGGCTGGCTAGGGTTGTAGCTCAGCGGGAGAACACTTGCCTAGTAAATGTGAGGCTCTGGGTTCCATCCTCAGTAACAAATAAAAATAAATAAAATAGAGAATTGTGTCCATCTACAACTAAAAAATATTTAAAAATAAAAAGGTCAGGGACTGTAGTTCAGTGGTAAAGCACCCCAGGATCAATCCCCTATACCAAAAACTAATATTTTTTCTTCTTAAGGAAGAAACAGTCAGGCGCAGTGGCACATCTAAGCTGCTTGGGAGGCTGAGGTAGGAAGATCATTGAGTTCAAAGTCAGCCTCAGCAAAAGTAGGCACTAAGCAACTCAGTGAGATCCTGTCTCTAAGTAAAATACAAAATAGGGCTGGGGATGTGGCTCAGAGGTTGAGTGCCCCTGAGTTCAATCCTTGGTATGAAAAAAAAAAAAAAAAACAACATTGCTTTAGGAAAAAAGAATTGTTTGTGTATTCTTTGTCAGGAATAAATTGAAATTGAAATTGTTTGGGGAAATACATCTTTACTAGAAAGAAGCCTCTGTCAAATCTGAATTTTTCTGGTGTTTTAGATTTGCTGATCAGGAAGTAAGATCCCTGGCTGTGACCTGGATTGAGGCCATTAGTGATGATGAGTTAACAGATCTTCTTCCACAGTTTGTACAAGTAAGTTTTTTAGTAGGTTACCTCCCTCCTTATGCCTCACACCCCACCTGGTTTTAAAAAGTAAGGAACTTAGAGTTTACCTGCTGTTTTAATTAAAAGTAGTTTTGTATTATTATAATGTTGAGGATCATTGCATGAGGATTTAGTGTAAATTTTTTTCCACTATTGTTATCTTGAATATTATATATCTGTAGATGAATTTTTAATTCTCAGACTTCTTAAAGTCTCAAAATAAAGCAGACTTGAGTTTTTCCTTGATTTTTCTGTATTAGTGAAACATAGCTAATGCATATTTTGTTGAGGTTATTCCTGTGCTTGATTTTATTAATTTGGCCTGTATTAATTCATCTGTTTCATCTTTGTAAGTATCATCTTTTTGTTAAATTTATACTTGCTTTATAGAATTTATCTTTTAATAATTTTATTTGAACAATTTACTAGGGACTTAACCACTAGTAATCCTTATTCTCTTTTATAAATAGGCTTTGAAATATGAAATTTACTTGAACAGTTCATTAGTGCGCTTTCTTCTGTCCAGGGCATTGGGAAATATCCAGATAGCACACAGTTTATATTGGTAAGATTTAACTTTTATGAAGTACTTTGTTTCCATTGTTAATATTTATAGAGATGCCATACTTTGTAAGTCTAAATAGTATGCTCAGAATATTTTCTATAAGTACTAGATATTTTATTTATTTTAAAGAAGCTGTTTTTGTTTAGAAATAAACCCCAAAATAACAAAACCCTCTGTTGCAAAATATTTGGCATGTGATAACTGTATAAATAGAGTTTTTACTTGCTTATATAGCTTACCATAAATTTCTGAATACTAAAAATGAACCCGTTAAGTTAGTTTTGTTCATTCAATTATCAAAAGTGGCTGACATAAATATTTTGCTGTATTAGGCTTCTCAAGGATGCCCTACATGATACACAGTTTGGTGTCCGATATGAACATGTATTGGGTGCTCTACTTTCAGTAGGAGGAAAAGGACTCAGAGAAGAACTTTCTAAGCAGACAAAACTTGTACAGCTTTTAGGAGGAGTAGCTGAGAAAGTAAGGCAGGCTAGTGGATCAGCCAGACAGGTATGTACTCAAAAGAGAACATAAATGTTTTGTAAATGATCTTTATGGTGCTGACAAATTAAGTTGTACTACTTTTTTTTCTTTTGAAACAGAGAAAATGAAGAATTATTTTAATTCTGAAAATATGTCAAAAGAAATTTTTCCCAAATTAATCTTTTCTCGAAGTGCAATAAATGAACTTTTTTAATCAATAGATTCCCAATAGAATTCTAACTATACCTGTACTATTTTGGACAGATAAGATTCAAAGGCTAGGGGCAGGGGATGTGGCTCAAGCGGTAGCACGCTTGCCTGGCATGCGTACGGCTCGGGTTCGATCCTCAGCATCACATACAAAGATGTTGTGTCTGCCGAAAAAAACTAAAACATAATGTTAAAAAATTCATTCTCTCTCTCTCTCTCTCTCTCTCTCTCTCTCTCTCTCTTTCTCTCTGTCTCTTTCTTAAAAAAACAAAAAGATTCAAAGGCTATTTAAAATATATGGGAAAAATTCCATAATTCAGGAGACCAATGCTTTTATTTCCTATGCTTATTAATTCCTTTCTGATTAAAATTGTTCTCAAGTTTGTTTTTCACTGTCTTGTCTTTAAAATTTTTTGTAATTGCAAAGTATCAGTGCTGATTTTTGATTTAAAAAAATAGGTAATAAAGTTTATAGATTCAAAAATGAGGAGTTAGTATTATTTCCAATTCACTCTTCCAGTTCATAGTTTACTGTACACTCTTCTTGGTCATATGATATGTATACCCACGCCCCCCCCCACACACACACACACATGAATTTGGGGAGTTGTTTTAGTTTTACAAAACAGAATTTTCCCCCTTCCACTCTCTCACCCCCCTACACACACACACAGTCGCGTTTCTCTTGTTGAGGTAAAAATCATCTAATATAAAATTTAGCCATAACAAAATGTATAATCATTAGCTTTTAATACATATACAGTAGTGTAGTACAAGCATTACTGCTATCTAATTCTACAGTATTTTTATAATACCGAAAAGAAAGCATGTACCCATGGACCATTCACTCCCCATTTCCCTTCCTCCCCACCCCTGGCAACTACTAATATGCTTTTGTCTATATGAATTTGCCTATCCTGGACACTTTATATAAGTGGAATCTCATAATATTTGATCTTTGTATCTGGTTTCTATTTTTTTTTTTAAGAGAGAGAGGGAGAGAGAATTTTTATGTTTATTTTTTAGTTTTCGGCGGACACAACATCTTTGTTTGTATGTGATGCTGAGAATCGAACCCAGGCCGCACACATGCCAGGCGAGCGCACTACCTCTTGAGCCACATCCCCAGCCCTTTGTATCTGGTTTCTATATGAATCATATAATATGTGGTCTTGTATCTGTTTTTTTTTTTCCACTTAGCATGTTTTCAGAGTTCATCCATGTTCTAGAATGTTTAAGTTTGTCATCCCTTTCTATAGCTAAATAATATTCCATTGTTTAGATATAGTTCATTTATTTATCTGTTAATGAGTTCATGGACATTTGGGTTGTTCTGCTTTTTGTCTAATACTAATAATGCTGATAAGGTGTTCAATGGACACCTTGTTTTTACTTCACCTAAGAATGTAAGTTTCTGAATTATATAATAAATCTGTATTTAACTTTTCAGAGGTGTTATTGAACTGCTCTCTCTAGCAGTCCTACCATATTATATTTCTGCCTACCAGCAGTATAGAAGAATTCTAATTTCTCAACATCCTCATCAACATTCCCCCCATCTTGTTTTTTTTTTTTTTTAATGATTTAATTATAGCCATTCTAGTGGGCATGAGGTCATATCTAGTTGGTTTAATTTGTATTTCCTTAATGACTGATGATGTTAAATGTATTTTTACAAGTTTGCCGTTTGTATATCTTCTCTGGAGAAATGTCTAATCAAGTACTTTACTCATTTTAAAATTGAATTGTCTTTGTCTTAAATTGTTAAGCATTCTTTATATATTCTGGGTACTAGACCTTTGTCAGATACATTATTTTTTTTTCAGATACACTATTTGTTAATATTTTTTCTTTCCTTTGTGTGGGTTATCACTTCCTTGATAGTTTCCTTTGATGCACTGTAATTTATTTGTTTAGTAGGGGATTTGAGATGAGATCGTGCTATTTCCAAGACTGAACCAAAAAATATCCTCCTACCTCAGCCTCCTAAATAGATGGTATTACAGGCATGCACCACCATTCCTGGCTTATTTTTAAACTTTGATTAAGTCCAGTTTATCTGTTTTTGTTTTGTTTTGTTTTGTTTTGTTTTTGTTTTTGTCTTTCATTGCTTGTGTTTTTGATGTCAGGTCTAAGAATTTCTCATTAAATCCAATGTCAAAGGTGTACACCTGTATTTTTATCTAAGTTTTATCTCTTATATTTAGACCTTTGATACATTTTTGAGTCAGTTTTTGCATTTGCAGTGAAGGAGGAGTCCAGTGTCATTTTTTTCCACATTTTTTATTGATTCATTATAGTTGTACATAATGATGGGATTTGTTGTTACATTTTTATACATGCACACAATATAACAATATCATGTGGTCAATATCACTCCCCACCACATCCCTCCTACCTTCCTGCCTTATACCCTTGTTCCCTTTCCTCTACTGATCTCCCTTTGGTTTTCATGAGATTCTGGCCCCCAAACTTTTCTTTTTCCTACCTAGCTTCTACATATGAGAGAAAACGTATGGCCCTTGACCTTCTGAGTTTGACTTATTTTGTTGACATAATGGCCTCTAGTTTCATTCATTTTCCTGCAAATGACATAATTTCATTTTTTGTGACTGAATAAAATTCCGTTGTGTATATATCGATTCATTTCTTTTTCCATTCATCTATTAATGGATACCTAGGCTGGTTCCATAGTTTGGCTATTGAAAATAATATTATTGTTCAGCATGTGGCTCTCCAGTTGTCTTAGGCCATTTGTTAAAAGATTCCTTTTTCCCATTGAATGGTTTTGGCATCCTTGTCAAAAAACAGCTGGAGGAAAAAATATATGTAATATGAAATTTATATATATTTCTGGACTTTCTTTTTCATGCATCGATATATCAGTCCTTAAACCATACTGTTCTTTTCTTTTCTCCTCTTTCACTCTCTTTCTCTGCTTTTCTTCTCTTTCTCCTTCTCTTGGGGAATCTAATCCAGGGTTCCACACATAGTAAGCAAGTGTTCTATCACTGAGTTTTAACCCCAGCCTTATATCATACTGTTTTGATTACCATAGTTTAGTAGTATGGAGGAAATATAATTCCTCCATCTTCATTCATTTTCAAGATTGTTTTGGCTATTTGGTGTTCCTTGGGTTTATTGTGTTCATTTCTGCAAAAAGACAGTTGGAGTTTGGTTAAGAAATATGTTGTATCTATAGGTCAATTTGGAAAATGTTATAATTTTAGTGATTTATGTCTTCTAATTCATGAACACAAGATGTCTTCCTATTTATTTATATCTTCTCAAATTCTTTCAATAATGATACCTTTTTTGTTTTGGGTTTTATTTTGTTCTACAGTACTAGGGATTGAACCCAGCATCTTGTGTAAGCACTACATGTTTGTTTTGGGTTTTTACTTTTTTGCAAATGCTTTTTTTAAACTTCATCTTGGATATTCATATCAGCAATGTAGTTTTACTTCATGATTTTTGTCGGTATTTAATACTATAAGGTATTATAGCATAAATTGTGAACCATTCCTACCACTACTACTACTATTTTTTTTTTTTTTTTTGGTGTTGGGCTTTGAACCCAGGAATGTTGTACTCCTGAGCTATATCCCTGACCCTATTTTGAGATAGGATCTTACTAAGTTTCTGAGGTCTTGAACTTGCAATTCTCTTGCCTCAGCCTCCTGAATAGCTGGGATTACAGGTATCTGGCACCATGCCTAGCTGACCCATTACGTCTATGTAGGTTGTTACACATTTTTCCTTTTCCAGTCATTACTACAATGAACTTTGGTATGTAAGTTTTTACTTCTTTGCTAGTATTTGTTTTTTTGATACATGATCTCACCAGTTGCCCGTGTTGGTCTTGAATTCCTAGACTCATGTGATCCTCCTACCTTAGCCCCTCAAGTAGTTGGGACTGTAAGCATGCACTGCCATACCAGGCTTTTTAGCATTTCTTTATAGAATATTCCTCCTATAGGCAAATTAGTTGAGTTGAAGATATGTACTTTTTTAAAAATTTTTTCTTTTAATTGTTGATGAATCTTTTATTTAATTTACTTGTATGTTGTGCTGAGAATCGAACCCAGTGCCTCGCACATGCTAGACAAGCACTCTACCACTGAGCCAACAATCCCAGCCCAAGATATGTACATTTTTAAAAAATATTTTTTAGTTGTAGATGGACACAATACTTTATTTATTTATCTTTATGTGGTGCTGAGGATTGAACCCAGTACCTCACATGTGATAGGCAAGTGCTCTACCCCTGAGCCACAACCCCAGCCCAAGCCCAAGCTATGTACATTTTTAGTAATAATAGTTTTTGTTAGATTGCTCTCCAAAAAATAAATAAACTATGCCTGTGTACACCTCTCTCCCCATCAACAGATTATGGAATTGTTTTCCACCACTTCTGTTGTCTTAAATTTTCATTGGATAGATGAAAAGTTGCATCTCATTTTTGCTTAATTTTGATTTTGTTGACTAATATTGAGCTTTAACATTTTCATGTATATTGGTTAGCCATATATACATCCCCCCGTACCCTGTGTTTATAGCTTTTCTCTATTCTAATTTACTTTTACAGTAACAACCCCTTTAAGCAGCAATCTGTATCTTTATTCCCCTGGAATTGGTGATTGAACCCAGGGCCTCGCACATGCTAGGCAAGCATTCTGCTTCTGAGCTACACCCCAGCCATTTTTATAAATTATATTTTGAGACAGGTTCCTGCTAAGTTGCCCACACTCGTCTTGAATTTATGACCCTTCTGCCTCAGCCTCCTAAGTAGCTTAGATTATGGGTGTGCACCACTGCACCTAGCAAGCAACAACTTTTTGACCATTTGGAAATTAGACATTTTATGAATTGTGTCTGCAACACATTTTCTTGTCTTAAAAACAGACCTTCATTTTTATTATGTACTTATGATAACAATCTCTTTCATAGGTCGTCCTCCAAAGGAGTATGGAACGAGTACAGTCCTTTTTTCTGAAAAATAAATGCCGTCTCCCTCTCAAACCAAGTCTAGTGGCAAAGGAGTTAAATATTAAGGTGATAAAATACTTAAAATTTCACATTAAATTTCAAAATAATACATAGGAAAAAAGCAAATGAGCAGGTATGCTTAAGGCAAACAAAGATAAGACCTGCATAGTTTCGTTGTGAGTATGTATGAAAGGATTTCTGTTTGTCATTAGGATCCATATTTATCTCAACATTCTTTACCTAATCAGTATTCCAAAATGACAGTGTAAAGTTATTTATTTCCTTGGGTTTTATTTGTTGTTTATCTTAAATTGGCCTTATTGTCTTAAATTAACTTTTTTGTTAATTAGTTTCATTTAAAAATAAGATATAACCTTTGCTAATGAAATTATATTAAAGTTTTAAATCAATGTTTGAGTCCATATATAATTAATTATAGTAGTATGATAAGTAGAAGTGGTGATTTCATCGCCAATCAGAATGAGTATCACAAAACTGTGTTTTGTTGAGGAATTAAAACCATTTATAGGGGCTGGAGTTGTAGCTCAGCGGTAGAGCACTTGCCTTCCCTTTGTGAGGCATTGAGTTCAATTCTCAGCACCATATATAAATAAGTAAATAAAATAAAGGTTTATCAACAACTGAAAAAAAATTGGTTCCCTTAAAAAAAAACAACACAAAAAAAACATTTATAAAGGGCTGTGGATATGGCTCAGTGGTAGAGTGCATGCCTGGCATGTATGAGGCCCTGGGTTCCATCCCTAGCACAGCAAAACCAAACCAAACAATAACAAACAAACTCAAACTGAAAGTATGCTATGTTTAAATTTTAAAAAATATACTATATATGTATGTATATATATAAATGTGTACATACAAACTGTGTGCCAGATCATCTAAAAATCAGTTCTTTTTATGTCATTTTCCATAGTTCAGTGAAACAAGTGAAAAGGCAAGTGCCCAGAACCAAAAAGTAATAAACTAATTTTTATGCCAGTGTTATCTTTCTAATGCTTAAATGATATATTTGCAGTCATGTTCATTCTTCAGTTCTAATGCTGTGCCCCTAAAAGTCACAATGGTGAATGCTGATCCTTTCGGGGAAGAAATTAATGTCATGTTTAAGGTGAGCAAAATAGGGTTACTTTGGGATGTGGGAGGTATGGGGGTTTCACTGTGTTGCCCAGGCTGTCCTGGCACTCAAGGGCTTATTTAAATGATCCTTCTGCCTCAGCCTTACCATTAGCTGGGGCTACAAATTTACACCACAATGTCCAAATAAGTTTTTTGTTTGTTTGTTTTTATTTTTGTTTTTTGGTACGAGCAGTTGATCAGGGCACTGGCACTGGGCTGAGGTTGTGGCTCAGTGGTAGAATGGTTGCCTAGTGAGTGTGAGGCACTGGGTTTGATCCTTAGCACAATAAAATAAATAAATAAATAGATGGTATGTGTGTATCTACAACTAAAAAAAATTTTTTTTAAAGAAAGAAAGAAAAAACAGGGCACTTAACCACTGAGCCACATCCCCAGCCCTTTTTATAATTTATTGTGACACAGGTCTCAAGAAGTTGGTTAGGGCCTCACTAAGTTGCCGAGGCTGGCTTTGAACTCGCAATCCTCCTGCCTCAGCTCCCTGAGCTACTTGGATTGCAGGAATGTGCCACCACGCCTGGAATCTCCCCCCCCCCTCATGGCAATTTAAAAATATTTTTTAAATTAAATTTCTTTTCCAAAATTACCAGGCAGTTTTGTATGTCTTATACACTGACATAAACTTTTCCCAAACACATTTGGGAACAAATGCAACTCTGGGATAGATCTACTACAGTTGACATGGGTTGAGCTCATCGTAACTCGAGACAGTGCCTTTATGTAGCCTGTAGTGCAAATGGTGTCTCCCAGAGTTGGGTGTACAAAACTACAAAACATGATCAATGGCACTTGTTTTTAGAAACATACCAATTACATATACATAATTTATAATTATGTCAGACTTCTGTGTATTGTGCTTATAATTTATATATTTTGAAAAAAAATCTTGTGTTTTAGTTAATTCAACTAGATAAGTGAAGGTTCATAAAGGTAGCTTCTATTAAGCTTCCTTTTATTTCTGTAGCAAGTTCCCATATACTCAGGTCTCATATGGAACTTCTTTTTTTTTTTTTTTTTTAACTGATATAGAAACCTTTTTCTAAAACTTTACCATCTGTTTTGATTATCAAAATTTTATATGTTTCATCTTAATGTATACTAAGGCAAATCCCTCTTATTCTTTTTATAATTTTCTTGACTATTGTCAAAAATGACTTCATAATTACGTGTTTTAATGTATTATTATGTATTATTTTATCCAGTTTATAAAAGAAAAATAAACTAAGTGTGGTAGCACACACCTGTGAACCCAGCTATTCTAGAGACTGAGATAGACGGATCACAAGTTGAAGGCTAGCTTGGTAAACTTAGTGAGACTTTGTCTCAAAATAAAATTTTAAAAAGGGCTGGGGATGTAGCTCATTGGTAAGAGCACTTATCTAGCATGAGCGAGGCTTTGGATATTCAGTCCTCAGTGTTGAAAGGGAAGAAAGGGAAAAGAACAAAGAATGAATTTTAATTCATTTTGGGAGGCCTAATATTTTTTAAGTAACCTTTTATTTTGAGATCTTTAAAGATAGTCAGTTATAAGAAATTATAAATAGCTGAGCACAGTGGTACATGCCTGTAATCCCAGCAACTCGGGAGGCTGAAGCAGGATGATTGCAAGTTTGAGGCCAACCTCAGCAACTTAGCAAGACTATGGTTCAAAATAAACTATAAAAAGGGCTGGGGATGTGGCTCAGTGGTTAAGTGCCTCTGGGCTTAATTCCCAGTGCCAAAAAATAAAAAAATAGAAAGAGAGAGAGAAAATTATAGAGAGATCCTGTAGATTCTTGACCCAGTTTCCTCTAATGATCCTCTAATGATTAACATCATATATAACTCTATTGCATATATCACAGGATATTGGCATTGATACAGTCAGGATACAGATCTTCACAAAGATCTTTGTGTTGCCCCCCCACCTTTTTTGGGGGGGAGGGGTGCTAAGGATAGAACCCAGGTGTACTCTATCTCTGAGCTACATCCTCAGGCCCTCCCCCCTTTTTTTTTTAAGAGAGAGAGAATTTTAATATTTATTTTTTAGTTT